CGCACATCGCCATCATGTATGTTTGTGCTGCTCAATGATAGCTTTCTCAGTTCTGGTAGTTGACTGAGTGAGGTCATGTTCCGTATCTCACCATCAACTTCCAAGTGCAGCGCCTGTAGTTGCTTCAAGCCAGCCAGTAGCTTCACGTCACAGACGCCACGGTACTTGGAAATGTTTATTCGGGTAAGCTTTTTAGATGTGTGGAGAGCCTTGAGGTCATCCTTTTCAAGCCTCTTCCCATCAATATGAATCTCGCACATGCAGCCCAGTTCGTCCGTGCGGAGGAATTTCATACTGCCAAGGGCACAAGTTTCCAATCCGGTGTCACCTAAGCGTCGCCGCCTCCTCAGTTTCTCTTGTAATTGTGCCTTTTTATTCTCCAGGGCTGACGCCTCTGCCGCCAATCTGTTACGCTCGTCGGCCAAATCTACGTTATCGGACTGAATGGTGGAGCCTTCAAATGTCTGTTGGGATTCGTCAGGCAGATGTCCCTGCGCAAAAGGAGGAGCGTCGCTCGAGACGGCACGGTTCTACTTGCTTGCGTCTGTATTCTCCACAGATCTGTCAATGAAAATATGCGCTGTGTAGTCGCTGTGTTGTTGGATCTATAAAGAGAAAAAGAAAGAGACAGAAAGGGAAAAGAACAACTTACAGACGCTCCTCATCTACAATGCGAGCACACCCGGCAACAGAAGGGAGATTGAATCATACTGTTTCCCGCAAGACCTGCAGAACGGTAGATGTTGGGATCCCCCGATCCACACGACTACGCCATGAGGAGGGGAAGTTGGCGGTGGGTCGGATTGCAAAAAAAAAAGAAGCGAGCTTTTCTTTATTTTGCACCCTTTAAAAGCACTTGTAACGGCACAAGAAGGAAACATATTCACGTGGAATAATGGCAACTGGACAGGCATCTCCTTGCCTGATAGTTTCCTGAGAAGCTGTCTGTGTTCTTTTGAGACATGACTCATTGTTCCAGAGGAAGTNGGCAACTGGACAGGCATCTCCTTGCCTGATAGTTTCCTGAGAAGCTGTCTGTGTTCTTTTGAGACATGACTCATTGTTCCAGAGGAAGTTAAAGCTAACCAAAATTAAGTGCGCCATTAGCGGGGCACATATCCCCAAAGTGGTGAGTATTCGTGCACCCGTTAAGGCCAAGCACCTTTACAAGCTCACTACCTTAAAAAAGATTATTTGCCTTGCCCGGTAATGCCGGTCATCTCATCGCGGTGCCAGGGTTAAGCGCAACCCGTATTCTCGGCGGGAAACCAAGCGCCAGCAAAGGTTCGCCTCTTGGAGAACTTTTGCGGAGCTATGCTCATTGCACCGCACAGTGTCAGGATCAAACATGCCTAGCTGGGGCACCGTATTATCTTCGTGGTTATAGTGTGTGTGTGTGCGTGTGTGTGTATGGCATTGACAGTGCTTGGGCAAGGAATGTTCACATGGAATAGAGGCACCCTGATGGACTTGATAAAGCCGCCCAAAAACCAGACCTAGCCATACCAAGAGCTCTCAAGAATGAGAGAGAGGAGGCCCCCGTTTCGCACGCCGCGGCCATAAAACAGGAAGAATGTGATGAAGCATTACCACAACTTCCAATGCGTAAAAGGGAGGACACATCCCTCACAACAGAAGCGCCGCTAAAGCACGAGGTAAAGGGATCACTGCCGCTAGAGCAGCGGAGGGGAAAAAACCGCATATAATGCTTGAAACGTTTCGCCCGCATAAACTAAGCCACGTCACACTCCAGAAAATTCCCTGATGAAAAAAAGGGACACCGACAAATGGGAAACGCTGGAGGCCACGCGATCATACTCCTGTGGACATGTCCCTCAGTGAGTTTTTGTGCCCAAGCACGCGGGCATGCAGCGCCACAGCAAACGTGGGCACATAAAACGCCGCATGGTCTGAGACACGGATTCAGGCCGGACACGGTGAAACAGAGCCAGCACACACAGTGCGAAGAGACGAGCCTGCGCTTACTGAGCTACCCGCCCTAAAGAGTCTCCAATTTCACTTTGCTGTGGACGGGGGCAATGTCGTGATGTTACGCTTCACGAAAAAAAAAAAACTTAACCAATACCTTCTTGCAGTGGAAAGGCTATGCCCTCAATGGCACACCCCTGCAGATTCGACGTCTATCATGCAGGATTAGGAGCAGTCCACCCACCCACCCCCATCTGTTTGTTTTATTATTTGCTTGGTTTCATGTCCCACCCAACAACAAAACGCGTCACACCCGTCTGCAGAATACCGTACCCAATGGAAAGTGCTAGTAGGCCCATGGGATCCCGGGTGGGGCCTTGGGTCTGGGGAAACAGCCGCCTGCAGCCACCAGCGCGAGTTTACTCATAGGCAAATTCACAACCCAAGAGATGTTGTTTTGGTTAATATCATATTTCGTTAACGAACAACAAGATGTGCAATAAAACAAAGGGGCTCTATTCCAAGCCATGGATATGCCCGCAACGAACTTGCTCTCCGATGGTCGCCGGTAAAGCTGGGCCTTCGAAGCCAGCCGAGAAGACACAAAGAAGAAAAATAATAAAAAACGCCACCCCCGCCAGTTAAGACTCAACCAGTTCACACAACAGCGGTTGAATTACACCTTTTTCTTGTCTTTTTTTTTTTTGCTTGATACTATTATTGGCATTGTGTTTCCTAAACCAAGGTCTATAGGGTCTCTGAAGTATGTGCTCAGCCATAAAAGGTCTTTTTACGCCTCGCTTTTCATTTCATTCTATGCGGCAACTGTGTGTTGTCTCCACACCGCACAGTGGTGAAGACTTCCTTGGGTGCTGAATCGAGACCCTTCACGTGGCAAAGACCCCCCCCCAAAAAAAAAAAATACTCAACATTCACTTGAGTTTAGAGTTGTAAATATCTTGCATACCGCATCACGACGTATGGTGCCTAGCACTGTGGCATGACGGGGTGTCGCACCAGGCCATTTTTATTGTGTAAACTACACCGCGCGCTTGGCACGTCTGTTGCACCCTTCGCAGCACCACGTCAACACATCTCAGCGTCACGAAAAAAAAAAATGTCTGTACTGCGCTCGCCGCCCAGTCTGTCATAGGCAACCGTTCAGTAAAGCCCAAGTCACCAACAGAAAGGGTGAAAAAGTATGACATCAAAAAACCCGAGAGGCCACCGGTACATTTATACGAAAACACTATTATTCTACCTTTTCCTTCGAAGAGGAAATACAAGAAAAAAAAAAAAGGACACGTCGAGAGAAGCACAGACAACAAGAGGATTATGTTTGTGTGTGTGTGTGTGCCAACCACTTTGTGCCACCTTCTGCCAAACCGTAAAGGAAATAATCTATATCATAGAGCAATAAAAAAAAAAGCACACCAATCACTGAAAGGCAGCATCGACAAAAATGAAGCAGTATTACTAATTTCAACAGACATAAAGCTGAGGGGATCCTTGATTGGATCGCGTATATACCACTTAAAAAAAACTTTTCGGTCATCCAAATGTTGCCTCCCCAGAGTATTTGATGTACAAAAACCCGTCTTCGTCCTTGTGGTGCGCGTACAGATCAGATATTTGCGCCGTGGAAGGTGGAACCGAGCCGTTGATGAAGACAAAGATTGCCTCCTCTGCGTCCATTTGAACGCGTTTTCGCAAGACCATCATGAATTGTCCCACTGTTAAGTCTGCAGGGACGAGAAACTTCCCCTTGTCCAAGTCACGAATACTTGAATCATCCACCTTTTCACATATGATAGGCAGGCGGTCTGGATGCCTCTCCCGCACCTTTAGCGCCTCTTTCTGGCGGCTTTCAAATGTGTTAGACAATTTATACTTGCTTTCGAAACTTCTTGCCATGGGTGTTGCAAAACTTCGCTTTAGAGTACTTTTTCCAATGCGTGCTGCTTTGTATCCCAAGCCAAAAGCAAGATTTCAGAAAGATACAAAAACAGGAAAGCATAGTAAAAGAGCCCACAAGTTGTTAGCACATAATATAAAGATCCACAAGAAGTTGTTAACTAAAAAGACTTATTCTAAGATAGCTGTGAGTCGAATGGAATATTAAAGCGTGACAGTAATCAGTGGAGATAATGAGGGCCTCCCAAACTATTTGAAAATCGCGTGGTATGTGCCACACCTTAAGAGCAAGAGCAAAAAAGAACAGTGACTATAAGCATAACAAAGAGGCACATCATAGACCGAGAAGCATCCCGTCAAGATAAACTAGGAGGTTTTGGTCTTTCCCAACTCTCAACACGGAGAGCAATATCATATGCGAGATGTGCACATTCACTGATATTAATCACAAGGCATACCATCAACCAAGTGTCGCTTCCAAAGTATATTTGATGTACAAGAATCCGTCTTCGTCCTTGTGGTGCACGTACAGATCAGATATTTGCGCTGTGGAAGGAGGAACCGAACCACTGATGAACAGAAAGATAGCCTTTTCTGAACTCACCCTCATGCGTTTACGCAGCTGCAGGAGTAATTGACCTATTGTGATATCTGGTTGAAGGAGGTATTTTGTGATTTGCAACCCGCTAATGTCTGAATCGTCTGCGTTCTCACAGATGATAGGAACACGATTCTTGTTTTTCGCGCGGGCCTCCTCCGCCTCCCTTGTGCGCTGCTCTACCGTATACAAAGCCTTGTACTGAATCTCAGACACGTTCGCACCCTTTCTGGGCATTTGAACACAGTTGCTGTGTTTCCTCCTCAGATCAACTGATATCATTTCAGCACGCAAAGGAAAAAGAAAGGAAGAGAAAAAAAAATTATGCACGGATGCACAGAGTTCTTACTTTGTGTATAGCGCGTGAGACAAATACGTGACGGAGAAAAAAAAACATTTTATGTTGCAAAGAGGGCAACTAATAGAAAAAAAAAGGCAGTCAAAAGTCTCTCTTCCTGCTATCCGTATCACCTTCGGCATCACCTGAATTCTGTAACTCCCTACTGATGGCATTTCGGTACGCTGTGACATATACAAACAACGCCGTCATCACCACACGTCACCACGTAATGATGTTGAAACTTCACATCTGTTATTGGAGATCGGTGCAGACGAATGCGTTTTGGAGGTGGCAGTGCTTCCCCGAGAGGCCAATGGTACCTTCCCGGGACGGATGATGAATGCAGCCAGGGTGCTTCCTTCTGCGATGCATCTGGTGATAACATTTCAGCTGCCGGGTTCACATGAAGCGATTGATGCTTTGTTCGGGCATGGGCCAAGTCCCATAAGTACAGAAAACCGTCGTCATGCCCGCTAATGATGTGCGAGTCAACACATCCAAAACAGACGCTAGCACACCTGCGGGTATTACTTTCAATGCCTTCGAATCGTTGTGGTAGAACACCTCCCGTCAGTACGTCCCACAAGCGAAGCGTACCACTCCGATAGGAAACAAGTAACAAAGAGGACGAGGGGGAAAGAGCTATTGAAGACACTTCACTAGCTACCGGTGAGGTGAACGAAAACAGGAGTACACCTGTGGTGACGTCCACAACACGAACAAGTCCTTCCTTCGATGCTGCATAGTAGCAACTACCAGTTCGATTCGTTGTCAGTGATACAATCGCCGAATTGCTGAAGCTGTGGTGGAACATTTGTGTCCCTGTTAAAAGGTCCCAAACTGTAACAGTACCCTCCGATAGTCCTGTCGCAAGAATATATCCACATGGAAACAAGCACGAGGAGTAAACGTCTGCTGTGTGAACAAATGTGTTTGCGACACAATCCTTCAAATATTCCGACGCGTCCGATGAATCTGGGGTTTGCCACATGAGTTGTGCCATATTGAGAACGACAGCTTGACATCCACTCCACGAGAGGAGTATTTGACGTTCATGGCTTGCCATACCTCGGACAGGCGCATTATACTGATACAGTCTGAAACAATCATTGTTCGAAGGCACAGCTACACTATCACGTTCAATTACGATTGGTATCCACAGAATAGATCCTGTGTATGTCCCAACGGCTAGAGCTGGAACTTGAAGAAAAGGTTGGCACGCTGTCAAACTTACGCCCTTCATCGTACCTCCGACGATATCACCACGTAGCTTGTTAACGTCTATAGACGTCAATAGGTTGGATGGAATCAGCTGCTCACCCATAGGCTTTTGAATAGAAAACACGGAGTGTATCGGCAATCCGCTTAGGAGTGACGGATGCTTTGATTTTAAAAGTTCATACGAAAGTGAGTTGGTCAAGATTTGTTCAAGACTCTTGAACGCAGCATTTGGACCTTCGTCAAATCCACACTCGTACTGGCGGCAGTATAGACTGCTGTCACAGTATCCAATAGCCTTTGATAGGATAGATTGAAGCTGCGAACGTCCCACCATAGGAGTCCACCCACGCCATACAGGAAACTTCCCTCCTGCCTCCGAGACAGTCCTGCATGTGAGGAGGTATATAAGCTGTTGAAAATGATCCTTGCTTATTGTTGCCTCCATCGGTTTGATTCTTCTCATAAAAAACACGTGGGCACGTTGTCCATCATCCTCATCAACGTACTCCAAAAATTGCTGCTGTGAGAGCAAAAAAGCCATCGATTGGAGCAGTGAAGCAGGTTGTGAGGGTGTATCTGCGTTACCTGCCCCATTGGATTTTGTGACGGGATCTAGCTTCTTTAGTTGGCCATGAGCTGCATCCCAGTTTCCCTCTTGGATAGCGCGTGAGATGACACGAAGGGCCTTTCGCTCATTGTGCTCTTGACGCAAGAGAGCAGCTGCTTCATCACGAAGAAGCTGTGCAGTCGACGTAAAACCTTGTTCGATCAGCCATGCTGCAATTATCTGCACCAGCTCTCCCCGTATGGTATCGCTCTTTGGGTCAAACTTTACAAGAGTGGAGCTTGGGATGGAGATTTCAGCATCGGCTCCACTTTGCACCTCTGGTTCTTCTGCAGGCGCGTGGACGGTGGTGGAGACGCCGCTCATAAGGCCCGACCTCTATCTGTTTAAATTCCGTTCCACTTTTTTTGGGGGGGTTTTCCACAATGGCAACGAAAAATAAAAAAAAAACAAAAACAAGAAGAAAGAAAGGCACACATCCGCCCAGGGGTAATCAATAAGAATTTAAAAAAGGAAACAGCGATGAATCCACAAAGTAAAGTAGTACAATTTGATAAAGAGGGAAAAGAGAGAAAAGAGTGTGTGTGTGCGCAAATACACAATGGCCTTTTCTATCGCACGAAGCATCTCCCTCTCATTTACCCTGGCGCCTGTTGCGATGACTGTAGTCGTACAGAACACGTGCGAGGTCATCCTTGGTCACCTCCGGCCACGTTTTGCTGCAGAAGAAGAACTCTGTGTAGGCGCACTCAAATAGGAGGAAGTTACTTAGTCTTTGCTCACCACTCGTGCGAAGCAAAACCTGAGGCTCTGCCCCACCACTATCCGCAAGCACGGAGGCGTCTTCAGCGTCATGCTTATCTTGCGTGACACTGCGAAGCATTTCCTTCATGAAATCTTCGTTATTAATAAGAAGTGATTTGTTCACTCGACGCGCAAGACGATTGCACGCATTCAGAATCTCCTCACGCCCACTGTAGCTAACACATACATTGACAACAATTCGGCGAGGAACGTGTTTTCGAGACTCTTCCTCCACACTCACCATAAGCTCTCGGATACAGGGCATAATTCTTTCGAATGCAGGCGAAATAAAACGGATAAAAATACCCTTTTCCTTTGATGACTGGCGTATGCGCTCAAAGTAAAAGAAAAACAGCGCCATCAGCACATTTACTTCGAGCGGCGGCCTGTCCCAGTTCTCTGTGGAAAAGGCATATACAGTTAGCATCTGAATGTTGTACTCGAGACAATAATCGATGAACTCCATTAGTTTCTCACCACCGCGGCGGTGCCCATCCAAGGGCGTACGTCGAAGGAGCGACATGAAGGATGTATACGTTTCATCCCTCTTGCACGAGTCGCGGTCTGCGCTAAATATGGACTCGCATACGCGCGTTACGGCGTCAGCAGGCACAGTGCCGGGTGATGTGCGCTTGCCGTATCTGCGATTCCCGTCCATGATAACCGCAAGGTGCCGTACGCCGTGGTTGGGCACACCTGTTGTGGTGCAGCAGGGCTTTAACGCGGCGAGGTGAGGCCCCCCAGGGCTCCCGTGAGACTTCTCCTCCGGCACCGAGTAGGTCCGCAAATTGAAGCAGCCTTCCTCCTTGTTGGGATCGACGACTGCGCCGCATTTTTTAAAGCAGTAAGGGATGATGCGAACGGCTGCTTGGTGCCACCACTGCCAGCTCGCACAGGCCAGACAGGCGAAAAACAGCACAGCACAGAAGAAGACAACAAACATTTCAAACCCTTCTGTTAGTGTGTCGAGCGTCCCTCCCATGCAATGCTGGAAGACTAAAAGCGTCGCGTCGCCGTCGGCGAGAAACGGCATTAAAGACATCTCTCCATCCTCCAGTGATGCGGAAAGCTGCATTACAACTAGACAGCATAAGCAAGAGACAAGACAATGGACAATAAAAACAAAAAGAATGAAATAAAACGAGACGAATGCGTTGTTATGAAGCCCTACAAAAGGCAAACTTCCAAAAAAAAATGTAGATAGATGGAATGAAGGGGGGAGGAGCCAAATGAAGAAAGCAACCATACTTACAGAATGCAAAAAAAAAAACGCACAACGAAGCCTTAGTTATTCTTCGAAACCAATGTGGGGTCAAGCGTTCCTTTCTGCAGTCTTTTCAGAAGATCTTCGTTCGTCTCGGCGGGGCGAAAACGTGCACCACTCTCACTGCGGCGCACCAGCACATCCGAGTTGAACAGGGACAGCGACTGGAGGGTGTTGATCAGCGGAGACATCAGCGTATAGCAGCCCTTTGCGAAGTGTACGAGAGGGCGATAGAGCCACGTAGCCAACCAGAAGAGAAGCGATGTTCCGTCATCCGATACATCGGCAGCTCTGTTATCAAGACGATTTGACTCCATCGCAAAAAGGCGCAGCTGTTCCGTGTGGTCAGCCACAATTCCACGCTCCTTTTCCAAACTAATCACAACATATTCAAGCTGCTGCTGAATGTATTGCAGATCGCTATTGGTTTTTGTGAACATATCTTCGAACCGCGACGTAGCGGCCCTGCCGTCATTCACAACAACACGTTGACGTTCAAGATTCTTCTCCATGTGTTTGAGTCGCCGATTGCTTACCTCAACTGCCTCCTCAAGATTGCGTATGATGGTGCACATTTGCGTATGCGAGATGTTGCCAGCATCTGCACTNCTCGGTGCAAGGAGAGGCACCACTGCATCCCATTGGCTCATCTGCAAGGAATACAAAGAACCAAAAACGTACGTGCAGTATTTTCTTCAACTCACACAATGTAATCCCATACTGATCTGGAGGCGTGGAGGGGAGAATGAAGGCGAATTTGGATATGGATGTGAGCAGCAAGGAAAGTGGGATGGGCGTAGGGCGGTTAAAGCGACACCACAAGTAAGCGTGCAGCAAACCGTGGACGCCAGGGTGAAGGCAGGGACAATAGAGCACTGAGACCACATACGCTGATACCACGCAGGTGTGCCCCAACGCAAACAAAAACAAGAACAAAAAGGAATCAGAGTGTACAACAAAAGAGGGCCTTACACGAGCTACACAATGCCACGCAATATTCTAGATGATTCAGCGAAGATGTGTAAATGAAAAGTGCTTCCAATTTGACCCATCTATGAAGAGGATCTTCCAAATAAAACGAAAAAAAAAAAAAAAAACAGACAACCTTGTCTATGCCATCACGAAAGTGTTTGCCTTCAGGCAAATATATTCCACTGAGTCAGCAAGGGAGGGCGACTGTTAAGACCAACTCAACACACGTCTTTTGCTGGGTCACTCAACTCCATCAGCCATATATTCACGCAATAGGGCGTCCCCCTTTCGAACCCACGTCTAGGAAAGGTGTTAGTGTGAGAGGAGGAGAAGTATGTAGGCACCAATCCACCGTAGTTGCAGTATCTCACCTGAGATGTTCAACGCGCATGCAGATGTCAAAGAGTGCGCAACGCCACGCAGGGGCCTTTATGCACCACGTAGTCGCATAGATGAACGAAGGTGAAGCCCAGGACACCCGTGTAAGAGTGCGCCGCCCTCTAATGCGGTGTAACCTTCGCTACATCACTTCCATCCCGTGCGTAACAGAAGTAGAAGCACCCGATCAAGCCGCACGTTCATCACCGAACTACACTGGACCCCATTCCAAAGACGCATGCTGCAGTCAACAACGCCCCGCATGCCTTGTATTACACATAGAAACCAGTGAGATCGCTCAGTAGAGCGAGTCGTCTCTTACGGTAAGTACTTCCGCGCCGTTAAGCCTCACGAACATCTACAACATATTCGGCTGCATGTGAGAAATTCTGATGCCAACAAAAATCCCGCAGGATCACGCCAGCGACAGAGAAGAAAGAAACGGCCCCGCCCCCTGTACTCTTGTGAAGCCGATCAAAAACAACAACAAAGGCATCGGACGCTGACAATACATCCATCAATCGACTACGCGCATACGCCAGTTAGAAGCACGAAACCCCCACTGCGTCTACGAAGAAAAATGTTTTGGTGCTCCTCCAACTTTGCAAGTATCAAGCCGCCTCAGCAAAAACACTCTTGACGGCGACAACGCATGCATTTTTATCACTGGTATGGAATTGCTCACCGAGATGACACAGCGGAGAATGCCACCTCCCGGCAACGTTGTTGGGCAGCAACACGGCCCAGCAACCATCCACCAGCTACCATGACGGTGGTCTTCGCATAGGCCATTTCAAAGCTCCATATGCAGAGGCGTATGTGTACATATATACTTATAAAGGGGAGAAAAGACACAAAAATGACAAGAGAACACCAAAGTCAAGAGGAAGACAAAAAAAGGAGAGTAAGGCAAAGGGGAACAGCGACAGATACAAACCAAAACATAAAATCTGAACTATTATGCCTTCACTCATTCACTCGGAGTCATCCAAAAGCAGGAGCTGTTGTTTTTTCGTCGGTAATGTGTCTCTCGTCGTTGTTACCACGGGCCTCACTGAGTCATCATCCAACATGAGGCTTGAATGGGCCACAGATATGGCCGCACGTGCTTCAGGCTCTCCATGGCACGGGGGTCGTGTTCCCCGCGCTTCTCCTTCCCTCAATCTTGTCAACTCTTCTTTGCGGCGCACCGCACGCTTCGGAGCAACAGTTGACTGGCGCTGCTGGATATCTCGTACATACCCCTCGGCCCCTTCGATTGTGCCGCCAATTTGGCTCCAGTCTACCTCTTCATTCCCCCTCTCATCGCTGGCATCATCTGCCTGTGGCGGGACGTACAGCGCCGTTGGTTTAATCACACGTCTCGAATGCGCCTCCAATACGCAACGTTCCTCGTACGAGAGATCACGGTATGGGCCGGGAAGTGGTGCGAGCAGACCGCTCTTATAGAGTTTGCGCTGCTGCTCCTGCCTTTTCGTATCAAACCCATCAGCTTCCTCCTCTTCCTCTTCCTCTTCCTCCTCTTCATCATCATCACCATCCTCGCTAGACGAGGAGGAGGAAGATGTGCTGCTCGGCGTGCGTCGACGCTTTCGGGACTTCGCTGGCTCGCCCGCGTCATCCGCATCGCGCGAGCTCAGGGAACCCTCGTAGCGCGGGAAACCACCGTAGCTGCTCGCGCAACTGCTGCTGTCGGAGTCGCAGATAAAGTCACTCCCCGAGGTGTCCTTGTCATTGGGGTGAAACGTGTTCATGACCTCTTCATTTGTAAAGGTCATTCGCTCCACGCAATCGTCAATGTGCGGCTCAGCTCGCTCCACCGCCTCTACAATCCTGTTGTACCGCAAGCGGTTGTAACGCGCATTGATATGCCAATATCGTGTCACTGTCAACGTGGGGCCTCTAGCAGCTGCAGTGTTGCCGTCATGCCGCCGCTTTCGATACTTCTCTTCCGCAAGGCGATTGTATTGTGAGATGTACTGAGAGAGAAACTCCTTTAAGCGATAATCCACAGCGGCCGTATGCGTTTCGTTGTGGTGACGACGAACGTGACGCTTCCAGCTCACCGCACGACGGAACACAATGTGAACCAATGGAGAGTCCCAGTCAGGCTGCGCATCCATCGAGGGAATGGTCATTGGCACACGCTCCGGCTCAGCACTGCTTTCGCGCGATGCATTTTCGTCCGCATCACCCGCACCTGTGGCGCCTTCCACACCTTGCATGTGTGCCAGTACGTCAAGCGGGTCAATGACGGGATTCGGGTCATCGTTCACGTACTCAACGCGCTGCCGTGTGGCGGTCAAGTGTGGAAGGAATCGGGTGCTGACCCAGTGAAGGTAGCACGCCGGGCAGACGTAGAGCTCAGCCGGGTTGAGAAGGTAGAACTCATCCATAATCTGATCAAAGTATACATGCCTGTGAAGAACATGGAGGCCGCCATCGCCACCATCGGTTGCATTGTGAAGAAGTACGTTACGTTTTTCAAAGTGAAACGTTCGCCCTTCGATTTCCTCCACCTGACGCTGCAGTGATGGCACCATTATCTCCCGGAAGTGCGGTGGCTGCATAAACATGCCTCTGTCTGTGGCAATGCGAACGAGTGTTGCGGTGTTGTAGAAGAGACGGAGGGTCCCATCTGGGCTAAGGATCTCAACGTATTTTGTGGCGTGCAGCGGCTCAGCGGTGACGGCGTCGATGCGCTCTGCAGCCGCGTCCTCAAGATTTGGTTGGCCGTCCGCTGCCTGCGTCAAGCGCGGCAGACGCCTCTTTGGGGCCATCGCACCCGTCTTGCTATTCTCCGCCGCCCCTTTAATTCACGTGTGCTGGTGTGTGCAAGTGAATAAGGCGAAACCTACAGACGTTAAGGCAAAAAAAGAACCCAACAGCTGCACCACAGTCGGCGGAAGCACCGACAAGAACCTCCGCGAAGGGTTGGAGGCCCATTCGGATAATACCATTAGAAGGAGCATGAGCAGCCCCGTCATAAATTTACCTTTTCGCACGTGGAAAGCGGCAGTAGCACAAACTGACACAGAGAAACGCACATCTACACGCATAGACATTACATATATATATATATATATATGTATATGTATATGCCCCAAACAGTGTTTCAACTGCCCACACATTCAGAAAATACGGCAAGGGAACGATTCCCTACCGAAGAAATGAAATAATTTGACGTGCTGAATGCAGCAATGCTTCGAGCGGGATGACGCCCAACGCAATCAGGGCAACCAAGTTGCTCAGCAGCACACCCGAAGCTCCCAAATCAAGCCGATTCAAGCGATCCCGTCGTTCCGCAAACTCCTCTAGCGTCTCACTGCTTTCGGCAGCGGAGTTGTCCTTCCGCTTTGACCTTTTCACCTGACGAGTCTTGGGCGCGGTCCACGGCGCTCGGCGTTCGACGTATCCATAATACACACAAAGAGAGAGTGCAACGTTGGCGCCCAGATACACGGCAGCAGCACTTGGCGGCACCTTCTTGATGAGTCTCGGGAGTTCAGGTATAATAATAGACAGACGCACCACTGCAAAGTTGAACACAACCAGCATCGCCCAATTAAGCCATGATGAGGAGCGGAAAAAGAGGGTCCACATTCCGTTCAGCAGAAAGAAGCAGCCGACTAACACCCAATCCACAACGGGCTCTGACAAGGGGAAACTCAAGAAGACAAGAGCAATTAGAATATACGGGATATATCCTGAGGGGCTAGACGCACTAGCTTCTGCTGCCTTCTCATGCAGCTCCTCGCGTCGCTCCTGCCGCAGCTGTCGAATGCGTTGAGTCTCTTCCACGCGCCGCTGGGCGGCCTCACGTATTTTACTCGCGATTTCTCCTCGGGGCTGGCTCATCTCTTCCCTTCCGAGAAATATATGTATGATATGTTAATTAGAAGACCGTCCTTCGTTTATGCCTCACAATAAAAAAGGCTCCTTGACAGAAAACGAGGAGAAAAGGAGCGAGAGCAGCAATGAATACAAAAAAACGCACACACGCACATGGAGAGAATCTCAATAGCGACAACAAGAACAACAAGCAAAAGAGGGCTAAAAACAAACAGTAATGCGCAAGAATAACCGTGACGAGTGTATTTTGCACAGCCGTCCTGTGAGAAGAAGCGGCGCCTCTTCACTACTGCCTGGGCCCGACGCCGACAACCTCCGAGACGCGGCGGAAGAGCCCCTCGCGCACCCCCGCAGGGATGATGGAGCGGGAAAAGGACAGCACTTCGTCAATCACATCGTGGGCATCCAGCGACTCCCCACACTGCGCACGCCGACGGACAACCTCCACAACGCGTTGCGACACGACCTCACGCCAGCTGCCACTGCCGCTGCTCAATTCGCGCACCAAATACTCTCGAAGCATCTGCTTGTCCACATTGTTCATTCCTTCGTAGATTCGGGCGCCAACAGAAGCAGAGTCGCCATCTGCACCACTGGCCTCGCGCTTCAGCATCCTACCGGTCCCCAAAATTCTAGACCCACTCCTAGTCTTTCCCTCTGTTCAAAAGAGGAAGAGAGTTTTTTGTTATGTTTTATCGGCAGAGAGAAATAAAGCGTATCATAAAAGAAAAAGCGCGACACAAACCTTATGGAGTTCAGATCGTCTGTCGTTTTTTTTCTTTAGATATTATCTGCATCTGGGGATTCATCATTCACGCTTTACGAAAGAAGAAAGCAGTTGCTGTGGCGACGCGCAAATAGTGCGCCAGACGCGACGTGGACGATGGACTCCTTCCCGAACGATGATAGCAACGGCAAGTTCTGGATGGCCCTCATCCCGACGCACGACAACTCCGGCACGGTGTTGAGGAGCGCATGGACGCCCTCCATTGCCGTGATCATAGTCCCGGTGTGCACCATCATCTCCGCCGCGAGCGGTTGCCCCACCGCCATCACACTTCCAATGTCTTGTCCAGAGCGAATAGCCCCCTCTAACACTTCTGTCAGTGCACAAACATCGTACAGGCCCAGATTGAGTCCTTGCCCAGCAAACGGATGGATGCCATGCGCAGCATCACCCAGCAGTAGGCACCGCGGGGAGTACGGGCGCAGCGCAACATTCAACCGTAACGGAAACGCACCCTGCGCGCGCACTGCCTTGCCTTTGACAGTGCCTTCAGGTACTTCAAGGATACGTGGAATATCTCTAGGGGCAAAGGCGTGAAGACGTGCATTCAGTTCTTTTACAAGATCATCCTGTGAAGCAGCGGCCAACTCCCGCGCGTGCGCAAGTGTGGTGGAGAATATGATATTGGCCGTGTCCTTTGACGTCGGGAGCATTGCGATAATGCTGCCATCGAGAAAGAAATTCTGGAAACAGCAAACGTTACCGTCGTCAATACGCTCTAAGCGGACACTACACACAAAGCCTGTCTGCGCGTAGTCGTGCTGCAGCGCAGATGTCGAAAGTACATCTCGTAGATGGCTGCCGCGACCATCACATCCAAGCAGGAGTGAAAACTCAACAGGCTCCTCCTCACCGGAAGTACCACGCAACGCCGCCTTGCCAAGCTCGCCGTCAATAACATCTTGCGACGGGAGAACAAGGGACTCTACCGCAGAACCAAAAACGAGATGATCGTCAGCTGCACTGGCATCACGAAGAGCTTGATGGTCCTCGATCACATCAAACAATGCGGCGTTCACCTCCGTGTTGTACGTAATGAAGCCAAGGGGAGATTTCAAGTCGGTAAACTCGAGGAGCGGCTCCGCGGTTGTCTTATCACCGCCCAGCAAGCCACGCATAAAAAAGGTAACAGAACGGTGCTGCTGAGGAAGCGTTGGGCTGTTCACCTTCTCGTGCCGAAGGGCAATGCGGTAGTAGGCGTGCTTAGTTTGCAAGCGCCGCCAGCAACCCAAGTTGTCCAGCAGTTTGCTAGAGACAGGTGTGAGGCTCACCGTGCGAAGTTGGTGCATCAAGTTCTGCGCGTCGTACCGCGGCCGAGCGCCTCGGTCTGCGAGCATTAGACGAGAGAGACTCGACGCATAAACAGGACGCGCAGCTGTAGACTCGTCACCTGCGCTCTCCGCGGAAAGACGTGACCGCAGCAACTGCAGTGAGGTCATCGTTGCCGCTCCGACAATACCGCCACCGGAGACAACCACATCGTATGGCTGCTGCTGCCCCTTCACCGGAGACAGGATGCGCACTGAGAAGCGTAGCATTTCTTTCTGCTTAAAGTAATAATAATAATAATAATAACAATACCAGATTACTATACCTATCACAACGGCGCAAAAGAGGGAACAATACGTCCACTCTTAGCACATAATGCAATTAAGAAAGACCAGGCATACACACACGCACACACAGATGCAGCGACACGCAAGCACTCACGCAATGGCTCACTGTCTCTGTCGGCACGATCTTGCAGTGGGAGCCGCCTACCTGGTACCATCGCAGCTCAAACTATCGGAACTGTCCTCATATGCGTCATGACGTCTGTGCCTGGGCCCTTTGATGCCTAAGCTAGTGAGACGACTACCACTAATACTACTATTATTCCCTGTCGCGCACACCAAATTGGATTCGGCTCAACCACTCAACCCCCCTCCCACAAAATATGACAACTTCTTACCGAAATCATAAATACACACGCAGACACAGAAGTGTTTTTCATAAAAGATATTAAAGAATCTTTCTTGTTTGGTTTTGGTTACATATATATATATATATAACAAATCGTTAACCAAGCGGCAATCCCACTCCTTTTCGCGATGGGAAAAGGATGAGGGGTATTGTTTTGCGTCAGTTGAGAGACTCCGACTCATCAAGGAGGCTCACATCAGTCGACTTCTTGGCACGAAAGCACTTGGAGTAAACCACCAAGCCGATCATGAGAACACCCAAAGCCCCAAAGGCGGCACCCGCGATCCAGACAAGCTTGCCCTTCTCCGGCTCCTGAAAGACTTGCGGGTAAGAAACGTCGTACAGGATGCCGCACATACCGCAAGCCGTAATGTTCACCTCTGAGTCGTTTTCACATCCACCACCTTCGGTGTTCCAGCCGTTGTCCAGAACACATACGTCATCAGTCTTCTTCCGAAGCAGACGAATATACCCGTTCTCGCCCCAGCGTTCATCCCAGGAGTTGCGCACAATCCAAAAGTCTTGCTTTGTCGTTTCGTTTGTGCCATATCCGACAAGCTGCACCGCATGATTAATGGTGATGTTCTGGTTATTCTTGCCACATATATCAAATATACCACTGGTGTAAAACTGCCACTCACTGGCGTCAACACTCACGGCAAGTGGTCCTTTCGTAACAAGTGCCTCCACCACAGCATTGTAGTCGTTGTGTGGAAGGGAGACGTAGCCGTACACCTTCACCTCAGATGGTGTTGAGGCGTTCATAATACACTCTTCCGTCTTCGTGGTGGTTCCGCTGACGTACGGGTAGTCCTCCTCTAGGGCGATGCCACTGGCGTTACGAATGTACTCCCACGCCAGTTGTGCCGTACCGCCAGAACAGCCCCCCTCACCGCCGCAGTGGTCAGAATTGTTTGTACATGACGTGATCTGTTGTGTGCTTAGCGTCAGCAACTTGCTGCTGCCGATAGCGTACATGCTCTCCACGGATTCGGTCGCTGCATGTGCCCAGCACGACCCACAGCCACCCTGGTCCTTGACAGGCGTAAGAACAGGGGGGTTTGCATCCTGCCACGTCATCGCATCTGGCACAGCGGCTCCTTTATGGTTGTAAATTTTCCTGCGCAGAGAACCGTGGAGGCGCGGAGTGGTGACTCGGCCAGTGAAGCGCGTCTTGAACTCTTCATTGGTGAGATCGCTGAATTTATTGACACCCAACTGATATGAGCGACCTGGGATCTTGTTGAAAGCAGCAATCTTGCTGAGACTACTCTGAAAGACCTCGCTCCGTTTGCGATATTCGTTGGGGTCATCATACCGCTTGTTGAAATCCTTCAGGTACATGTCGAACGTATAGTGTGACAGATCCTCCGTGGAAAAGGCGGCATGCGCTGGAAGCGTTACTGTCGCGGCTGCTACTAGCAAGACCACGGCGCCGAGGAGGTTTCGTAAAGAAGAGGGCATTGCTGAAGTCAGAGAGTTAACACGCCCTGCTTTGAGTTGGACAGCCCCAGACACGATACGCGCCATCTATGCGGTTGCACAGATGTTAATGCAGGCAGTTTGACGGAAGCAGAAATTGACAGAGAGAGAGAGAGAGAGAGAAAAGAAAAAGAAAGTTGCAGAACGTAGTGAATGAACAATTATTTCATTCCTTTCTAGTCATTCAAGACCTCAAATTATTTTGCCTTTTTTTTTGCTTTCCGTGTGTGAGTGTGAGTGTGTGTGTGTGGAGAGGCGCGGGCATCGAACACAAAAGAAACACCAAAGGAGCTCTGTCGCGCACAACAAAGCGTATTGTGTGTCACCACAGCGGCTCCACCGGCAGAAAGGGCTCCATCGGCGGCCCGCCGTAATCCGTGCGTGGCACCAGGCGAACATGTTGCCCTACCTCAAGCCCTTCACACCCCTGCGGTCCCAACGACACTGTGTCACTGCCGCCGTTGCGCGTGACCGAGTAGTAGGTGCACTTTATGTTGTGCGGCGGGGTCACGTACGGTGGAGTAATGGCGTCGATGAATAAGGCCGGCTCTGCACTATCATTCACGATCTCATGGAGTACGCCACCATCCCTCGGCCCAAAAGATTTTACCAGAGATGTACAATCTGGTGCATTAACCTGCGCCGCAACAGCACCTGATCCAACAACAATGCCATCCCATCTGCACGGAGTGTGGTCAGACTCGTCAGTAGGAGCAGTACCGTTAAGCCAATCAATGGATGTCACGTGCAGCCTCCCAAAAAGTACACGCTGCCACACCCGCATTGCGGGGTGATCGTGCAGGGGCAGCATCCCGCCCGGCGGCACCACAAACCAACAAAGAACAGCGTCCTTTGAGTGATAAAGTGTGCTGCACCCCAGAATGTCACTGGGGCGGCAGAACCAGCGGAGGGGTCCACCCAATTTTAAGACATTGTCAAGCCTAATGACGTGATCGGCGGCAGAAAAGCGACAGTCTTTCACCCCAAGTCTCAGCGCACTGTGAGAAATATAGCTGCGCAGGTCGGATAGCGTCAGCTCCCCAAGTGCCTTTGAAATGTCCACAGAACTGAACTCACCGTTACAAGGCTGCAAGGCGGCTCGGAGAGCCCGCATTACGCAACCCACGGGGAGGGAAGGGGCTTCTCGTGCGCTGCCGCCGGCACCAACTACCAAAAAAATCTGTTGAGGAACCACAGCAAAAAAAAAAAGGTACCAAAGAATTGTACACGCCATCCAGAGGGGTTTTAATCAAACGTCCAAACCTCCTCTGGTTGAAGCATCCAATAACACAAACAGGGACAAGCGAACGAACAAAAAAAAATTACACAAGAAGAGAGACAATACTAACAATAAAAAAAGCACAGCAATGGATGAATATCACAGCTCCAAAAATGGAAACACCGGATGAGCGACTACATGAATGGTGACAACCTGAAAATAGATGTCGACTTCCGTCTATTTCGCTTTATCAACTGACTTATGCAAGCCAAATGGCGACCCCCATCCGGCGTGTGTTCCGTGTCTTCCATCATCGCTTCAATTTCCCGTCGGCGCTGTTTCTCATCCAGCTCCATGATATTCCTTTCTTCTAACTCCGCCGCCAAAACGGCTTCACGCTGACAAAAGAGTCTTTTGGATGCATAAAACACCGGGAGGGCTGGCGGCCTCAAAGCCAAGTGGGAGTCCAGGGAAAGCTTTCGGCATTGGTCCAGTGTTCTAGCATCTGTGTCGGTTACCGACGAATTTGCGCGGAGGCTGGGAAGTCGGTGTGGATATTTAGAGTCAAACTGGAGCAGAGACACGAATGACAATGAGAAACTGTCTTTACACCTGAGCGAAGTCTGTCGCGATCTGGAATAAGACGTACTTTGCGGCGGGGATAAGGACGGGAGTCTGCTATGAACAATGTTATCACGCTGCATTTGCTTGAGCGTCCGTCGTGCAACGGCCACTGTTGAAGAATTGCTTGAGGACTGCTGGCACTGTCCTGCTCCCGCCATCTCACATGGCCCCGTCTTTCTCCGGTTCACTAGTTTCTCTCCCTGCTCTTGCCTCATTTCTCTGCGGGGCACAGCGTGACGGTTTATCTCGTCCATCTCATCACTTCCCCGTTTCTTGCGCAAAAGTGATAGCCGCGCCACCTGCTGCATCGAAGCAACATGTCCGCCGGAGCCACGCACCGTCATCTCTGACGGGGTCATGGAGGGAATGAGCCGCACCTCATCCGGCAGCGGGAGAACCGCGATGGAGGCGGGAACGGCACCACCCACCGATTTCAGAATGCGCTGCACCTGCTCCCCGGCAGCCGAAGGGTTAAACGTGGCCCTATACACGTCATTAGAAGGAGGCGGCCACAATACAAGACTATTTCCCCACGCTTCTGTGAGCACATCGCTCAAAGTGGGATGGGCAAACACCAAAAACCTTGCCGCTGGAGATCTCGCACTAGCCTCCTCCTTTCCCTTCAGTACTTCTTCAGAAGGTATTCCCGCGACATGAATAACGAGAGGGTTTGATGCCAGAAGACCCTTTCGTTGAGGACGATTCTTTGTTGCCTTGAGAATAAGGTCAACAACATCACGCAATGAACTTACATGGTGAAAGGAAGCTTGTGAAAGCAGTGCCATCTCTCGTACCGCGTACCGTCGCAACCGTAACGGCAGGCTAGTTGGAGCCGGCAACTGATACAGCAAATCCAGCCAATGATTCGCTTCACGCTCAGCAAATGATACAAGAACAGTAAGGCGATCAGTATTGTGATAGAGCGCCTCACAGAAGCAAGCCACCATACTAAAAATGACCGTACCACAATCTTCTCTCCCTACTGAATCCGCATCAGACAGAGACGTCGTGTTCAAGGATGTGTTGTCAATGGATATGCCGCATTTAGACCCACATCCAGGCGAGTCTTTGGACCCAGAAAGTGGCTCTACACGATTAGAGCCTGTGGAGGAAGGTCGCGATGGCGCCATTGGTAACTGGTTCATATCAACCGGCTTAAGCGCAGAGGACGAGATAGTCCAATGGTCGCTGACCGGGAAAATGGCGCCCTCAGTCTTTGCTTCGGTCAGAGTCAAGCATTGTGGTGGTGACACGAGCACACATGCGTCACGACCAGTCTGGAAGAGTAGAAGAAGCTTGTTAACTGCTCCAACGACGCCAGAACTCGCAGCACGTGTGCCACCCTCAATCTCTGCGAGTGGATCACCATTCCGACGCTCATCGTCGCCGTTTTCCAGGTCATCCGATGTGATCTCACCCAGAGGGGGGAGACCCATCGGGTGCTTCACGCAGTCCACAACCGTGGTACCCGCACCTAGCAGCTTGTACGTCATGGAGTGTGCGAGACACTACAGCTATATACTAAACCTCCTCGATCAATTCGGCACCAACGCAACAAAGCAAAGGAATATGCACAAGAAAGGAGCCCGACAGGGAGTTTTAAAAAGACCTCCTGAGCCCAGAATCGGTAGCGCCAGTAAATATCCGCTGAAGTTTTAACAGTACGGAAGGGGCGAAGAGGGGGAGGAAAAAAAAAAAATACGAAGAAAAAAATCACAAGAAAAAGAGTCAAGGGGGAAATTTCACAGCGGCAGAAGGCAACACATGCCCACTCTCTGCTGTGCTTTATCGTTGTACCATCGCATCGCGGTTCCTGACACGGAAGGTCTCGATGGTTTTACAAAGTCCTCTGTATCAAAGTGGAGGCGTCGCGCCGTGTGCTCGTTTGCGTCGAAGGGCGACACAACGCCAAGCTGCACTCGCACACGCTTGCGCTTTGCGGTGGTCGAGGCAGTGGCGGATGATACCGCTGCAGGGCTGGTAATATCAGGAGCAACATCAGCAGCAGCGGTGACTCTGTGACGCATTTTGTCATCCTCCGCGTATATCGCGCACGGCGAAAGCTGCACATGGCTCGCACGCCAGCAGGCAGGTGCGACGCCTTCTATGTCATGCGCCAGTATATGAACTGCACTAAGTTCTGCTTGAGATAGCATTGACTCCGTGGTGAGGCTGTCAGGTGTCAACGGCAACGCCTGCGACGGCGAGGCGGTAGAGTTGAAACTGCTACTACACTGCGGAAGTCTCTCCTCCTCCTCCTCCTCCATTGCAGCAGCGCTAAATGAGCGTCTTCTCCGCTCATTCCCTCGCCGGCGTGCAGAGCTCGCGTTGCCAGCGGAAACCGACGACAAATCAGACAGAGTCGAATCCCAGACAGCCTTCTTCGGCAGTGGGGAGCGGCAGCCATACACCGATCCTCCGGTGGGACTCGGCACGATGAGGTCGTCGTGCGGAGCGTCTCTGTTCTTCTTTGGAGTGTGGCTACTCGCCTGCTCAAGCGGATGTTCCAGTGCATTCGCGGTAGTGGGCTGCGCGTGGGTTGCGCCCACCACCCAAAGCGAGAGCGGAGAGCCACGACAGAGTTTGCTGTATGCTCCGCCGAGGTCCGCCAACTGCTGCCTCCCAACATTTCTCTCTCCTGCCGACCCGCAACACTGCTGCCGAAACAAAATCAGCTCAGCCCTTTGGGCAACCGTACGGCTCGGCGTCTCCCCGCCAGCAACCACATCGTCACTCTCACTGTCGTACACGATGATCTGTTCCTTGGCACACGTACTGTCTGTCATTGCGCAGTTTTCAGGTTTCGATTAACAAAGAGTGCCTCGCTGTTAGTCGTCGTGGTTCAAGTATCTATGGTAATGGAGATGGTGATCTATGTTCGTTACGCCCCCTCTGTCCCCGTGTGATCTATGCCTTCCGCAGAGAAGAGGTGTGAAGAGAGGCATTTGGTGTTTGATACCCAGCAAAGCAAGACGAAGTACTCTTCCAAAACTGAAATGAAATGAGCAGATGCCAATAATAAAAAAATACTCATCGCTACATGTAGCATTCCATGTGGCACAAAAAGGCATGAAGTCTTGTTTCGTTTCTTTCCTTTGCGAGCCAGTACTACAATGCACATGCCTCGTGGATCCACACAACTCTTCCACAGACAGGGACAAGCGATAATAAAAATAACTGATGGGTAATATACGGAGACGGACGGACACCAATGGCGTGCAAAGCACACAAAAGCAAAATATGAGGGGTGCTGATCGAGAACGGTATGATGGTCCCACGGCGCGTTTTCCCAGACATCTGGAAACGCATTTCACCACCTGGCCAAATCGCCTGTAGACGATTCAGTCGATTCATGCTAAGCAAGCTTTCCACACACACACATACATACATACATACATCCGCACCTGAAGACGTGGATGACGCCAACGTCCCCACCGGACGCCCTGCACCAAAAAGCAACGTTACATGTGTTGGGGCAGAGCACCATACGAAAGCAATGCACAACGGGGGTGGGGGAGATCAAGATGTTCTACAACAGAAAAACATTTTGGGGCATCATCCCTAATGCACATGAATATATGTTTCCGGCAAAGACTTCACTCAACAAATACGAAAAAGGAAATTAAGAAAGGACACTGCATCCACCACAAACCAACTTTTTCCTTTACACTTCAAATTCACGTAAGATAAAGTATGCGGCGGAGTCTTGTACGGCATGTGTTCACCGCCGTTAATGATGCGACCGTGCTGTATTGCACGAACGCCGCGACGGAGAGACGTGTTCTGACGCTGGTCGCACGGGTGTAAACGGCGGGACCGCCGCAATTTTGACGTGGCTCGATTTTCCCCGAAATGGCCGTTCCGACGCCACCCTACAAAACTCCCTTTCCTGCGAAAAGGCGCTACTCTGGGTGCTGGGCTGGCGGCTCAACTTCACACCCTCGTTGGAGTTAATTGCACATCTCTGTGGGGAGTTGTTGCTCCGCACTGCGAAAGGAGCGTCATGGCTGGAGGCGTAGAGCTCGTGTTTCCTCCGCTCTGCTTCACTCATAGCCTGTGTCTCTATCCGCGCCAATATGTGGCCGTCCATGCAGACTGTGGTGCGGTAGAGGGAACTGCGGCAGGTCGTGCCGAAGTCTTCACGGTAAACTGCAACTTCCTCGTCGCCGTTGTAGAGGCATGCTGTCAGTGTGCGGCCACGGCCAACGTCCAATCGAACCGGCAGCAAACCGTCCATTGGATCGTTAGAGCAGGTGCCCAACGCTTCCGCCTTTTTTCGCCGTGAGCGCAGCGCTTTTGCATTCGCTTCATTCGGCGGCACAGATACATAGACTTGTGTGTTCCTCATATGTTTTGCTTCGGTGTCACAGAGTGTTCCTCTCCCGTGTGTGTGCGTGTGTTCACGCCAGCATGAGAAGCGCAATAGAGACGCACAACAAGTCAGGTTCAACGCAACACAGCTACACGCCTCCATAGCGCCGAGGCCAACGAATAATATATTTATATATATAAATACACGGAATGAGGGGTGGACAGAATAAAGACAAACTCACACAACCAAGTAGCTTGCTACATATACACATCCGCTGTAGTTACTGCTGCTTAGGCTGTGCACTTCCTTCTTCTCGTCAACAGCCAACGGTAAGGCACATGATTCACAAACACAAAGCAAAATTAACAACAAAACACAAAGAACAAAGGCTTAAGGCGCATATGTCCTTCTACCAAACGATCCCTTTCACAAAACTCTTAAGCGCCGTAACGTCGCGCGGGCCGTGATATACCACACCTTCCTTGTTGCCCTTGGTGAACAGCCGCAGCGTGGGAAAACCGTGCACACCGTACCGCTCGGCGATATCGCCGTACAGCCCCGCGTCGATGTCTGCAAAGACAACGTCCGATACATCTTTCATATCCTCCGCCAACGTCTCCCACTTGGGAAACATGCGGCAGGAGCGGTCACACCACGTCACGTAGAAAAAAACAAAAACGTGCTTTGACGGGTCGTTTACGGTCTTTTCAAATGTCTCTGCATCGAGTTGCACCACCTTGGTGTCCGCAGAGTGCAAGTTGATGGGTTTCCCTTCGATACGAAAGCGACGCATGTCGGCAGCGGCGGGCAGTGCAGCAAGCACCGCTGCCGACACAGCCAATAGGAGCGTCACTGCTGTTGTCCTGCCGGAATTCATTGCCATATGTATATATGAGCGATAGAAGGTGCTGTATAACAGTCTTCCTTCCCCATCATGATGCAGAAACAGAAGAGGAGAGGAAGCAGCAGCCACGCACACGTACGTAAACACAATATTATGAGCCTATCGCTCCTCTGCACCCCCCCCCCCCNCCCCCCCCCGAGAGAAAGAGAGGGAGGGAATACATCGAGTACAAACCCTCTCCTCTTCGCTATGCGTGCACCAGTCTCAACGCAAGTCCACGCACCGCGCGGCAGAGGCGGCGGGCTGCGCCAGGCTCTCCTCACCTTTGCTCGCTCTGCCCCACTGTGAGCGTCCGTCTTCCCCACACCTTGCTTTCGGTACGTGTGCGTCTCTCTCTCTCCCTCTCTGTGTGTGTGTGTGTGTTGCCACCGTGATCATATGCACATATCGAACGCAGTACAGACACCTGCACGTCCTTATACATCGACAGAGGAATGGTGGCCACCACACACAGACCACAGATACAAAAATAACAATAAAAAAAAAAAATAACACCCACAACACGAACGAGACCTCACGAGTTCTGAAACACAAAGCTGTCCAGAAGAGTCAACGAACGAGCGCTACCGAACTCGGGAGGGTCGTCCTTGTCCAAACGCGTGTAGAATCGCATTGTGGGGAAGCCGTTCACACGCATCCGCTGCACCACATCGGGGTACTTTTCGCCGTTAATCTTGGCCGCGACGAATATGTTCATGTTGCTCTTCCTCGACTGACTCATCGAGAGGTCGTCCCAGAGCTTCAGCATTGTCGCGCAGTGACGCGACCACGGCACGTAGTACAGCACGAACACATCCTTCGCCGGGTCCATTACGACGCGGTCGAATGTCTCATCCGTCAGCTCCACGACGCGGCTGGGGCGCACGGTGTCGCCGTACGAGCCGTACGCGTCGGCGACGCCCGCCAGCGCAAGCACCAGCACCACCGCATGAAAAAGAACAAAAACAACGCGAGAGACCCGCCACATGTCTGGTGGTGAATCGAATAGACCCTACATCCCCGGAAGGAAGGAAGGAAGGAAAGAGGGAGTGGAAAGGAAAGACCTATATTTCCACACACCCACAATCCACACTCATATATATATATATATATGCAAATCCTCCATGCAAAAGAAATGACGGCACCGGGAGAAGCAGTGCCAAAAACACGGTTATTCCTACGCACTGAAATGCGCATGGTCTTCCTACGCAAGCACGCACACACAGACTCCCTACCAACCAGAGAATCCAACAGCGGTCTTCCTTTCTCATCATTTCTCACCCGCGAGAGCCCTCATCCAAGGCGAAACGTCAAGCCGTTATGGCATGGGAGCAGTGGATTCAGAATCACCGGAAGCCCATTCCCCTCAACGAGAACAAGGTGAGCATCATTGCACTTCACAAAGGCAGCAACAATACCCACGAACAATTCCTAGCGCCCACAGCAACCCCCCACCCCCCTCAAAAAAGACGATGAAAACGAGCAGAATATATCACAAATCGGGTTCCCATTTACAAAACAAAAGAAGGGAGAGTCTGTGCTCATATTCACAGAATGGAAGTGAAGGAAAGCCCAAACACACAAGAAACTAAAAAATTCTACAACGTTATGTGCGTAGCTCTGCGTGAGGTCCTTCAATATCTCTCTCCCTTTCTTCTTTCTGGTCTCCCTCCATTCCGCGTACTCTTCACAGGGTGTCCCCACCCCCAGTGCGTTCTCTCCCCCGCATCGTGGCCTCTTTTCGTTCTCGCCACCGGAGCTTCATGCGGCGGCGAGCCGCTCCATCCTCAACGGAATTCCTTTTTCTCTGCTGCGCCTCGCGTCCAGGCAACACTTCGGGGGATCTAGGGGCACGCTGTAGCTGCACGGTGCCAGCTGCCCACACCGCTAGCAGCATCACAGCCACAAGGAGGAGGAGCCAACAAAGAACAACAACAACAACAACACGAAACAAAAAAATATCAACTGTGTGTGTACTCTTATTCTCTTTTTTTTTTGTTTCTTTTTTTTTTTTNNNGGGGGGGGGGTTATCTTTTTTTTTTCGGTGGTGTGTTTGTGTGCCTGCGCTCTCGGTCAACGCGTGAGGTCGAACTTGTAGTCGGCGAAGATGACGCCCCGTGGGTCCACCTCCCGCACAGCGTTGCGCTCGTCGAGCCGCTGCTGCACGGCACCATCCTCAATATCCGGGAAGTACTGCGTGTCGAGCGGGTTCGACAGCTCCGGGATGTATGCCGCCCTCATCTCCCGCAGGTGGTCCCAGTCCATGCCGAAGAAGAACGGGTGCGCCTTGATGCCAGAAAAGTCCAGCCGCTCCTTCGGGTCGCACATGAGGTGCTGCATGAAGTCCACCGCGTCATCCGGCACGCCGCGGTCGGTGGGGTACACGAGGTACTCCCGCCAGTGCGTGATCTTGTAGCACGTCGTGTTCTGATCATGCGAGAAGAAGGGCGGAATGCCGTACAACATCTCATACATGATGACGCCAACAGACCACCAGTCGCAGTCAACGCCGTAGCGCTGCCGCAGCAGAATCTCCGGCGCGATGTAGCCGGGGCTGCCGACGATGGACTCGAACATTCGGCGGTCGCGGAAGTGCACGACGCCGTGCGTCTCCGCTGGCGACGCGGCGTCGGGCCGAGGCGTCTCGCCCAGGACCGTCACGCCGTCGGTGGCGGTGCTGTCCTCGAAGTCCAGCAGCTCCTCGCCCGCCTTCGCGAACCGCTTCGACAGGCCAAAGTCCGTCAACTTGATGTGCCCATGAGCGTCGAACAGGATGTTGTCAGGCTTCACGTCGCGGTGGACGAAGAACATGTCGTGCACGCTCGCCACGGCGGCGCAGAGCTCGGCAACGTAGAAGCGCGTACTCTCCACATCGAACTTCTGCTTCAGGCACAGCCACGAGATCATGTCGCCGCCTGGCATGTACTCCATCACCATGTAGAGGTACTGCTCGTCCTGGAAGCTTTGGTAGAGCCGCACCACCCACAGATTCGACGCGGCAGCCTCCGCCATCACGTCCTTTTCGGAGCGCACGTGGACAATCTGCTTCTTGCGAATCATGTCCGTCTTTCGCATTCGCTTGAGGGCGTAGAGACGGCCGCTGTCGTCGTCGTCCTTGCGGCGGCAGACGAACACTTCGCCAAAGGCTCCTTTGCCGATGCGTTTGATGAGAATAAAGTCCTCCGCGCACGGTTCCCGCAGCCGCGGCCCGACCGGCCGTGCGCTGCCGCCGTTGCGCGTCTCACGCAGCATGCCGCGGTAGTGGTTCTCAACGAACGCCTTGATGGCGGCGGCCTTGTGGTGCGAGACGTCCGATATCGGGCTACCCTCCGTGTAGGCCGCGCCCTTCAATATCTTCGGTGCCTCTTTCCGCATCGCCGCGCCTGCCAGTAGNGTGCAGCGGAGTGAAGCGGGTCACGACAAGGCCAAAACGAGCAGGCACAACTCGCCTAATTTATTTTAGATCACGTTGATTCTTCTCCCTTTTTCTTTTCCCACTGTTCTCTCTTTCCTTTTCTCTGCAGTCAGTCAACCGTGTTTTTTTTTGTTTTTGGATGTGAAACTATTTTCCGTATTCTCCGCGTTACTTCTTTCGCCCTTTGGGAGTCTTCGCAGTGTTCCTTATTTTGGGCGGTCTTATTTATAATGCCTTGGCGTTTCTTTGCGGGGGGAGAATGGCTGGCGAGCGCGTCACTTTCCCAGCTTCCCTCTGCTCCTAACTTCCGCTGTGCCGTCCGGTTCCACCAGCGCACAGTGAGCACAGAGAAGACGACAAAAAGAAGGAGGGGGGGGGGGGGGGCANGGGGGGGGGGCAACAGCAGAAGGAAGCGGCACATTACGGCATGCAGACACACATAGAAAGACTCCCGTTCTCGCGGCCAGCATGCGTACGCCCGCATGCCGACAAGCACACACACACACGCACACACAAACACACACACACTATGAGAGACATAGACGTATTACTTCAGTTAGCACCTCCACCTCCCACCCCCGCGCTGCCCAATTCCGCAGCCGCGCAAAGCAGCTGCACGTGACGCAGAATTCCGTTCCTCTCGCTCCCACCGTTCATCCCATTCTCTTCAAAAATTCTCACTGCGACAGGCACCCACAGGCATGACACAATTCCCGCACCCCAAACACGGCAGCAAGCACTCAGTCCTTCTCGCTGAGCCAACGGTAGTAGTCGTTGACAATGTAGTAGCGCCCATCCACCTTGCGAACCACGAGACGCTGGAAAAACTCCCGCTTGTGCTCATCGTCGTACACGACGGTGCCGTGAACTGTCATGAGAAACGAGTCCGCTTGCTCGTTGCCAGGCAGCGGCTGCGCATCAACGCAGTCAATCTTGTGGTTAGTTTTGGGCAGGCCGCTGAGGTACGTCGCAATTGCGCCTGTGTCCGGCAGCGAGTGGCCGTTCCACTCGCACAAGAGCGGCGTGGCGGGGGCGTACAAGTTGACGATCTCCGGTCGTCTCTTAGGGTCGTCGAGCATCTGGTAGAACTGCTGGCGAAACTCCAGCGCCTTCTTCGACACCTGCGTGCAGTCCGCGTACTCCGTCATGGCGCAACGTTGATGTGGCCGCTCTTCACTTCTGTTGGGACGTCCTCACAACAGCAACAAGAACCAAAGAAAGAAGGAACAGCAAACAGACAAACAAGCATGCAACTGCTGCTGCAGAGTGGCCCACGAATAGATGACTGAACCCCCCCCCCCCC